AAAATGATTTGATGGGTTTGAAGAAAGAGATTATATGTTGTATAAAAGCTAAATTCAATATTAGGGTGTCATATACAAAATTATGAGATGCTAAAAGAAATGACCATTATATCCATCTTTGAAAGTTGGGATGTGTCATATATATCATTACAAATATTAATAGAGAGATACTATTATATAATGAGAGAAACTATATACATAATTCAAATTGACTAGTTGAATCATTTGAAGCTTATATTATGGGCATTCGGACTATCATTATCTAGTTGATGTTATTGCAGTCAGAAGATACATTTCTTTCAGAAAAATATAGTGGCGTGTTGCTTACTAATGTTAAACTAGATGTAAATAATGCTTTGTTTTTGTTAGCTTTTATTATTGTTGAGTCAAATGTAGTGAATCTTGGATGTGATTCTAACAATTTATGCATGACATAATTCCGATTGAGCATTATAGGGCAAATTTATGAATAATTTGACATAATATTCTTACTTAATTTGAGCTTAAATAGATTTTTTTCCCGATGAAGATCATCGTCATTGTTTGAGATACTTGCATGAGAATTTTAAAAGAGAATAAAAAGTATGGGTTTCTTCGATGTTGAATCTATGTGCCATAAGATGTACTCAGTGATAAACATTGAAGAGATTCGAGTATTCAACTGGTACAAGATAGATAATAAAAATGTGAAGCTAGAAGCGTATGCATGGCTAGTTGGCATGGATGTCTCCAAATAGACTATGTTTCATCTTACTTAAGAGGGGAAGAGATGATGCTAAGAGAGTTTATAATCTGTATGTTTCTATATGACACTTTGATCCATGTATATTTATGCTTTAACCAGATAGTATGTAATATTCTTAGCACAATTTTGATAGCTGAATTATGTGGTTGTTTAAATTTTGTGTGGCGCTTCCAAGCTTGAAAGTTTGTGCTTAAACTGATTTTAGAATGCTGTGAACAAACCATAATCATTATTTAGATAATCCCATAATTTTGTACAGTAAATGTTGTTTATGCATCTATGGTTGCTTCTTCTATAAATGATGATGATAAATTTAACATTCACACAATTCCATGACAGCTGTTCTTTTAAGGTGGAATGGCAGCCAAGGATAACGAACATTCCCATCATTGTTCTTAATTTTATCATTTTAGTTGCATCCATGATATCTTGTGGTATTGCTTATGAAAAATCAACGATCCTATCTAGGAATGACGATTGTTTATTCACCATAAAAAATGTAAAATTAAATTGATTATGCAACTTTGTGCTTGTTGCATGGTATTGAAATGTTGCCGCCTCCAAATTTTGTTTAGGATAACATGATGTGATGGTTGAAATGAATGTTATGACATGTTTTTATTTATTAGGTCTCATATGACTATTGTAGATAGAAAATATGTTTTGAAAAGTGAACTTTACTCCACTCATTTTCTGTATGAAATCAAAATTAATGACAATTGATGAATATTGATTGGATTTTTTGGAGCTTAAAATGAATGCTAGTTTCTAACTATACCCAGCCAAATGATGGAGTAACACATTTCATCATTTTCTAAAACATATTCTTTAATTTCAAGCAATCAATTGAGACCTTGGGATGAATTAGTTTTTATATATAGGCTTGGTAGTAAATCTTGTCATTGCTAGTTGGTACATATTTTATTCTATTAGATTTATGCATTCTTTTATTTGAAATTCTTTCTAGGATGGAACCTAGATCCTTTTTTTAATTACATGTGTTTGGCTTTTTATATGTTATTTATTCATCATATTTATATTAGAGAACTAATTATGTTGCAGGAAGTTCTACTACGGAGGCTACCAAGGCATTAATGATTTAGAAATTTTAGAGAGCAATCAAAGAATCTTTATATGCTGTTTATTGATCTTTACATTTTACATGATTGAGTACCATGAAATTCATTGGAGGGTATTTTGGAAAATTCATGTTTATAATGTGTGGGGAGTAATTAATGACATGTGTGATAAATTGATGGTTGGCATTATAAGTATTGGGGAGTGATCATATAGTTTTTCATGATTATCCTTATATTAATATCTTAAATATATCCAGAGTGAGCTAGGTTGGCATAATAAGTATTTGGAATGATTATAAAATTTTTAAATTACAGTTGGATTACTTCAATGTTTACACTTTCCTTATATCCTTATATTCTATGAAGAACTAAACTTCTATGTTTGACATTGTAAGTTTTGTGGAGTGATCATTGAGTTTTTTAATTATATTATGATTACTTCAATGTTCACCGTTGTCCTTATATTTATATCCTTTAATATATGAAGTACTAAGTATATCCAAAGTGCGATAGGTTTGCTGATGATGTTTTAAGATGATAGTGGAGTAGATGAGATGTCATGACTCGGCCCGTGAGTTTGAAATTACCAAGGTTAGAGCTATTAGTTGGACGGAGAAAACTATCTAACAGTTTCATTTCATAATTAAAATTAAGTCCAAAACACAAAAAAAATCTTTATATTTATAATATTTAAAGTTACAACCCTAATGTTTGGTCACCTCACCTATGGTGAGTGTGTAATGCATAGACCGTTGCTTGTCCCTCCTGCGTGATCGTTCTACTTCACACGACTGCCCAAGTCACTTGCCTTTGTGGATGTGATGTAGTATGATTGTCCATTCAGGAACTTAGAACTTAATTATTCAAATTGGATTTCATACCTGATATTTTTCTCCACGATAAAGTCCTGTATTCTTGCTTTAGTTTTCTCACCAAACTTCCTACATACATTTTAGCAATATCAAGTCATTTTCATTTGTAAATTTTGATATTAACTGAATTTATTTTGAATTATATTTCATAAATTAACTTTCATCTTGCTTGAGTTTGCAATTCTTCCCAATCCTCATTGTCATTCCCTATTTTTGCAAATTAAGTGTATAAGGCTCAGTCGTATGACCATGCAAACCACACCATTCCCTTGCCGTTGCTCGGGTAAGTCATCAAAAGTTTTGGTCTTCTTCTCTTTCACACATCAAACAGACGCATGGTGAAGGCTTAATTTATTCCCTTTGGCCGCTCATGCTCACGTCTAGCTTGAGCAATTGTAAACATCGTTGCTCGATCTCCCACCCTTCAATTCCTCTTTGTTCGTCGCACTTCGGGCTGCTGAGTATGCATGAAAGGGGAGCCGCACCTTGCCTCTCCCCTTTCTTCTTCCTTATCCCTTTTTTCTTCTTCCGATTCTTCTTCATTCTTCTTCTTTCTGCGGCTTCTTTTTCTTCTTTTTCTCCTCTGTTTCTCATGCTCTCATTTTCTCTCGCTTTATTTGGCTTTCTCTCACTCCTCTTGGCTTTCTTTCGCTTTGTCTCTCTCTTTTGTAAGTAAGGCATGAGAGAATAATCTCTCGTATAGGCCTTCCCATGCGCAATGGGAGTTTAAGGGACAACACTTGCCTCTCAAGTGTCATAAATAGATAACTTATTTTTTATAAGAATAAAAATTTTAAGGGTATTAATATATGAGATTAATATTAATTTCTCTAAGAATTGGAGCAATGTAGTTAGTTTTTCGAAAGAAACGAGAGGCTTATAATTAATAAAACAAAGATCAATGCATGGTATTTTATTTCTGTGGATATAAACTAGATTATTATCCATTAATATTTTTTGAAAAAAAAGTGTAATATAGCAGCAATAAGATAACTTTAATCAAATTATGTGAAGGAATGAGATTTTATTGAGAACTTTAACTTTTAGAGTTAAAGGTATATTTTTTTTATTGTATTATTGATGGGGATCTTAACCATCAACAAATAGTCACGGCCCTTCAGATTTCTCTGCTGACATTTATATTTTGTTTTTTTCTAGTTCGGTTTTAGCTTGCATGTTTGAAATGTCATTTATTATTCATCTTGTTTGCTAAAGAAGGAATATTTGCATACATACCACCTAAGTCCTATGCATTTAGATATATAACATCTAAACTTCAATTTTTACATATATGCCATCTTATCTACGCATTCAAACATGCATTTTTTTAAAAAGTTAAAATAGTAGTATTTTTTATGTGATATGAATGATTTGGGTGGTATATATGTAGGTGTTAGGTATGTAAATACATTAGAATTGTGTGGTAGGTATGTAAATGCCCCATATAAATAATTCTCATCCCAAACTGATTTTTTTTAGATTGGCATGGCAAGAGCCTTGCATAGTGTTCGCGCCTCATTGGTCTCTTAGGCTGGGCCCTGCTATTCATCTACTCAGCCGTTGGCATGCAGATTCCAGGTGTTTGCTTATTCTGCAGGTATTTTCACTGTAAACTGCGTTTGCTTCCTGTGTGGCAAGCTCCACTAAATTTATACTGTTTTTCTTGAAGTTGTTTCTCATTTACATATACGCTGCATTTTAAATAAATTTCAAACATGAAGCAAGGAATAGATGCTGAAGTAGCGCTGTTGCCATTCAAGACTGTTTTGATGAGGGTTCTCGAATGTTCATTTATTTCTGGGATTCAGTAAGTTCGAATTTATTTTATTTGCTGCTTCATATAATCTCCATTTTTAGGCATGCATTTCAGAATTACTTCTTTACCTGGTAAAATCATAGCTGTGGTATGAATGTTTTCCTTGCTGAAATTTAAGGGAACCAATATGATGAATGTAATAGTGAAAAATATTATTGTATGTAGCTGTTATTTTTTTTTATAATGCAAATGATTATGAAAAGATAATGCTAATCTACTTTAGAAAGATAAAGTTGACAATAAATAAAATTAAAACTTTTATTTTTTTGAGTTTATAATATTATATGTAATAAAATTGTTTCAATTATTTTATCATATATTATAATACTCAATAAATATTTATAAACTATAAAATTTGAAAATTAATCAACAATTTTGTCCTTTTTTGTGAAAATTATAGTATTTAAATTTAAATTCAAGATTATGTAAGCCTTATAATAATCCGGAGAAGGATATTTTTAAAATTTGATTTTTTTGTTGACGAGAATGGATGACACACACACACACACACACATATAACCTCTTATCCACCAGAGCTGCAACATTCTTTATGTTCTCATTTGAATCTTAAGGTGCAGAGCATCTTGATCATTGTTATGTTCACAAATTGGAGGGAGAATAGGTATTCTGTAAGAAGTGGAGTAGGATTATTGGTTATGCTTGTAGTTGTAGATGTGGTCACCACTAGATGGGTAACAGTTGCAGGCATGAGTCTCAAATCCGTAAGGAAATTTAGAACTATTCGAAGTTTTGATTATAGACATGATTTGATAGTGGAATGGCTTCCAAAGTGTTAGAGGATCACATTTGATCCTTTGATTGCCTCTCTTGTGCTTGATAGTTTATTTTCTCTGTCTGGATTTGCCTGGATGCATTCCAAGGAATTATACCAAAATATTTTTTAAAATTGAAGTCTGCTAATATTCATAAATCAATAAACCAATCCACACCTTTTCTAATTAAGAACTTATGTCAGATTCAATGAAGACTACGAATGTAATATCTATGTAAAAACTAAATAATAATAATAAATAAAAATATTAAAACTTAAATAGATAATAAGGGATAAGCTTCTCTACAACTGCGCCTTTAGGGTCACCTGTGCCATTCAAACCAAACGAACAAAGATAGCGAGAGACAGAGGAAGAAGTGGAAGATACTACAATGAAGGATATGGAAGAAGAGGAAGGGTAACGTCTGTGCCCTAGCCGACCGATGGAGAAGAAAGCTCTGTGAGATTTCCATGCAAAGGAGATGGATGGCACTTTGATGTGCGTAAGAAGTGTTGAGACTGTAGAAGGAGAAGATACCTCACATGTGCAACCTAGGCTAAGGAAGAAAGGAGAAGGCGAGGCGAGCGGATTAATGTGTGAAGTAGAGAGTCGGCGCCAACGAAGCCTTAGTTTGTTGGTTGGAGTGTGCTATCGAGATGAAGAGGACGAAAGGAAGGAGGAAGTAGACCATTAGTGGTTGGGAGAAGTCGTACTCTAGCTGGACGAAGGAGAAGAAGAGAGTACGAACGAAGGAGAAGAAGAGAAGGGTTACTTGCGACTTTGAGTGAAAGAGATATACAAACAAGGAAGCCATAGAGTAGCTCCGTTTGAAGGATTAGAGAAAAGGATCGACCTACGAGAGGGGAAGCCAAGCCTGTGTGCGAGCTAAAGGATGAACTGGACTGAAGTCACTAATAAAGGTATGTTAAGGTTTAAGTTTTAAATAATTTAAATTAAATTATTTAAATATGTTATGATATTAACATTAAAATTTTATGAATTAGAATAAGGTATCATAAGTGGAAGGTTTTGGTGGGAAGAAATATCAATATGAGCAAACTTAATAAGATAAGAATTTTGGTGTTTTACTTATATATAAGATTTTTTGTTTAATTAATTAAGATGTTATTAAGTAGATATTAATATAATGAATTTAAATTAGTGATTTAAATGTGTAACGATTGTTAATTAAAGAATATGAAATGGGAATTCAAGGGCGAGGGTCCAGGTGAGTAATTGCTTTCTTATGTGTATTAAATTAATATTTTATTTTAGAAGCACTTGCATTATTGTCTTCAAAATACTTTCTATTGAAAGTTAAAGAATCTTTAATGTGAAAATAAATGAAATGGGAAAGGGTAAATAGTTATTCAATGGCTTTAAATGGATAAAATAAAAAGGAAGTGAAATGTAAAAGATCAAGTCAATTATGATGTATCCCCTTATGGTATTAGCTGAGGATTCTATTGTACCCGTACACGAAAAAGAAAATGAAAATGATGAAAGTATACATTCATGTGCATAATTTTGAGGGTACCTACGAGTATAATTTTTTTGGTAAAATACTTGGTTGTTATGGTTGACGTTAGGGATTTAATTTACAGAAGGAACTCTACCGATATTAGGTAGTGTGTTGTTTGTTATGATTCTAATTTCGTATATTGTTTATTTTAGATTGATCTTATACTGTTATTGGTTGGATTGCGATATTGTTTTACTTTTAGATTATGATATTTTGTTGGATTTGATTATAATTTAGTATATTGTGTGGTTTTTAGTGGCTCTTTTTATCATTGGAAGCTATGACAATTTATTGTATAATTTTAAAAGATGAGTTAATATCGTTCGATCACAGTTTCTGACTTTGTTTATTTGAACCTATAGGGCTAGGTCATAACAATGATCACAAAAAATCTTGAAAGACTATTGACCTCACTTTTGGTTGAGGTCTAGTTTTATCTTTATAGCCTAGGGTCTAGCTATACGACTTTCTTGTTGACTATTCATCGAGGACTAGTAAAGGAACCGTCACAATTAAAAACTCTAAACTCTTTTTTGCTCAATTTGAAGTTTCACATATTGGTCATAACATCTAACATTTAGTAGGTGGTACCAGTATGGGGGAGCTCAAGGGGCCATAGGACTGTTTGGCCTTAGGGTGGACTCTGGGTGGTGTGGCCTTGGTTAGTTTCACACACACACTTGATACCCCCTACTTATAGTCGAATCTCAGGCTTTAGTCAAATATGCTTAGTTGGTCCCTTAACTTTTCGGGAAACCCATGTAGATGGTCCTCTAGGCCACTAGCCCTAGGCTAGGGTTTAGCTGAGACCAGTACATTGAGGACCCAAAGTAGGGAATTCTATTAGTCCATAACTCAAGTAGGGCGGTTGTGTGGTTGGCAACCCCAATCTTACTAAAATACCCAATTTAACCTTTTGCCTCCAAAACCTACCCCAATTTACCAAACTACCCTTGAAATCCCAAAATTGACCAAAATCCCAAAAATACCCAAAATGCCCAATTTTGTTCAAAAATCATTTCAAATCATTTGAAACCAGTCAAAGTGCCCAAAACACCCCAAAATTTTTAAAATTACCAAAATACCCAAAAATACCCAAAATGCCCAATTTTGTTCAAAAATCATTTCAAATCATTTGAAACCAGTCAAAGTGCCCAAAACACCCCAAAATTTTTAAAATTACCAAAATACCACCAAACTTGTTAAAATTATAAAAATATCCTTGGTGACCCACACTGTCCCAAAATCTTCAAAATCATTTCAAATGTTCCCAAAACCAATTTGGACCATTCTATTGAGCTCAGTTTGACCAATTTTGACTAAAAGCCCCAAATTGCCCTTAAAGGTCTAATTACCCCAATTCACCCTCCAATGTCCACCAATTTGATCTCAATTTTCTCCAATTTTAATTCTAAACTCCAATTCATCATGCCTAAAATTGATTGAAACCAAATCTAAGTTCAATTGGACCCAATTTCAAACCTAAATCCTAAGCCCAATTCAAAATCTCCAATTTGACCATAAGCCAAAATTTCATCAAATTGAACCCCCCAAACCTATCCAATTGCCCTAATTTTGAATCCTAAACTCTTTACAACACTCCCCCACATCAAATTGAACCCTCAATTGATCACTCAAATTCAACTTGGACCAAAACCCCCAATTTTGCCCCAAACTCCAAAATTCCACCAATTTGAACTTGATAATCCCAAAATTTCCACTCAATTGGTATTCAATACTCTTCATGGCAATCCCTTGAACCAATTTGAACCATCAATTGGGTCTAACTAAAGCCCTAGCCCAATCCAAACCTAAGGCAAACCTAAATGCACCAAAATTGGCCATGAACAAAAATTCATCAAATTGAGCTTCCAAATCAATTCAAAATCACTCAATTCTTTTTCCAAACTCCTTATGACAATCATCTACACCATTTTAACCAATCAATTGAGCTCAATGCCATGACTAGCTCGACCCAAACCCAACTTCAAGCCAAAATGCCCAAAATTGAACCCATGCTCTAAAGTTTACCAAACCAAATCAAATTGACCAAACCAAATCGACCACAACTACCCTTTAGACCCTAATGATCAGGCTAGACCCACCTAGCCCACCCTACATGAGCCATGGACCAATGGTCCCTTTATTTAAAGGATCTCTTCACATATTGGTGTTAAATCAAGATACAGTTGTCATCAACCTTAACCATTAAGGGTTAATCATCATTAGCTTCCCTAAGGCTTTTATGACTCCTCTGGCCACCACCCATAACCTTATCGGCTAGCGTAGTTGCCAAAAAACCCTAAAACTAAGAGTCACCTTGTTTTAAACTAAACTCATTCCCATCTAAGCTGGCTCATCTCAATTGATTACTTGCCTCTTTCCCCTTCCACCTAAGAAACAAAACTCAGCCAGCCAACCACCCCAAGCTCCTCTATTAAAACTCCCTCTCCTACGACCAAGAAAGAGAACTCATCAATTTCCTTGGGGAGATTGTTAAATTGCTTCCAGAGACTCTTCAAGAACTCCTGAGCTCAAGCTCAACATCTTCCTCCTTCGAATCTCTCTGTGAGAACTTAATTTTGAGTTCAAAATCCAGGTGTTTTCTGTCACTTGATCCTAACCTTTTGAAACTCCAAATTGACTCTTCCTTTAGTATCCCTGAGCTAAACGAAGAAGTTTGCCATCAAAAACCC